CTTGGCAGGTTAGTAGTATACCTCAAGGGTGTCCACCCAGAAGAATTGTAAAGTGCACTAGCCAGAAGATTCCGAGAAAAAGGCTCTAAAATTTTAAGCGCAGCTTATATACCGATCGATTCTACATTATGGCAGTACAGTGAAGAGGCTGAGTCCATAGCGTACTCGCTTGCAATGTGGTGCGACCTAGGTTCGATCCTACCTTTGGCAAACTTTTTTTTTTTTTTTCATTGGTTTAAAAATTATAACAACTTTTAAATAAAGTTAATGATGTAAAAATATTATCAATTAAATCATAAATACTTTTATTTTATTTATGAAATGACTGTTACAGCAGATTAAAATGTGAATTAAAGATAACATTTTATTTTTCAAAAGTTGAATAATTTCAAATGCATTTTTAATGGAGATAAATTAAAACTTTAATTATTTTGTTATCTTCAATTGATGAACTTACCACTTCACGAAAGGTTATGTGAAATCGTCACTTTTGCTGCTGACTTGTGAGAACTCGCTGAATGATTAGCTTCCAGATGTGAAAGTTGACAGTTATCCAACAAAATGATATTTTTAGGAAGTTATGTTATGATTTAACTTGTAAGTAAGTAAACTGATTATGTAGTGAGTCTTACACGATATATATATAGGTTTACCTATCCTTATTATTCTAGAAACTCAAACTAACGTGCTAGTTCATTTTTGACTTTCGCAAGATTGGAGCATTCTGTACTGCAAAATATCAGAATTTTTAAACTATTGTGAATTGAAAATGTCTGTTAATGAAGAAATTGGGAAAGTATCAGAAGCTGCAGATGAAATCAGTCAAGATTTATTATACAGTGAAATGTCGAAGTTGAGGTTAAAAGATACGGTCATTTATTACGAAAGCTTGCTTGCTGAAAATAATTTGATAACATTGGAATCTTCAACTTCAATTTCTCGTGAAGCAATGTTGATGAGTGAAGAAATTTACGAACGTACTATGGACATGATGGCTGAAAAAATACTTGTGACTGATGATGAACTTGCTCATGAAAATGAAAACTGTGACGAGGAACCTTTTGAAAATGTCGAAGACCATAGCTCATCAGATGAATATGAACCAGAAGGAAAAAAAAAAAAAAAGAGAGAGGTAGACCATCTTTCTTTGGATTACAAAATTAAAGTTGTTAATATCGCAAAGGCTCACCCTATGTGGAATCTACAAACATTGCATAAAAAAGGATGCAGCCGGTTAAAAAAGAAGGAATATTTATCTCAATGGAAAGAAGAGATAAAAAAAAGGAGGAAATCAATTTGATAAGTACGAAACAATCAATTTCTGGACACGTGATCGTTTTGTTGAAGCCCAAGAGAATTATCAACAAGTGACTACTCGAAATTTACAACAGTGGGCTTTAGCAGCAGCACAACAATTTACAGATTTTGAATTTAAAGCTTCTGACAGTTGGGTTCATAAATTCAAAAATAAGCATGGAATTCGTCAACGAAAAGTGACAAAATTTGTTTCAAAAAAGAAACAGCAACGATTGAAGAAATGTTGGCTTCTGAAGACACTTTTCGAACCCAGACGTTCAAATTGATACCGAATTTCAACAAAGATTTTGTTATTAACACTGACCAGACAGGTAAATTATTGCAGAGTATTTACAAATTTATTTTGCTCTTTATTTTTACGACTCTGACAAAATACTTAAATTTCGGTTGTTTTCTCTTTCCAGGATGTCAGTATCAGTCGGTGTACAACAGGACCTTGGATAAAAAAGGAAGCAAAACTATTTTCGTCAAAAGGCATGACATGAATAAAGTGACTCATACATATACTGCTCAATATGTTCTCACTCTGTCTGGAAAAGTCCTACCTCAAGTATTTGTTTGTTTACAAGAAGCAACCGGTAACTTTGGCCCCCGAGTTCAAAAACACAGTAAATGAATATGCGCAAAAATATAAAAATGTCGTAATAATGTCTTCGAAATCTGGGAAACTAACGACAGGACTGTATATTGACTTTCTCAATTGTTGTTTAAAGTCTCATGTGGGAAAAGAACAGTTTTTATTAATTATTGACTCTTGGGGTGGACAAACAAAGCCTGAATTGTATGACGAAATCTTTCAGGATGACGAGAAATCACCGACTTGTACAATAAAAGTAATTCCTCCAAAATGTACTCTTCTAGTTCAACCTTTGGATGTATATTTTTATAGACAGGTAAAAAATCTAATAAAGCATATACAAAATTGCACTTATCTAATTGAAAATAATAGAGAAATAAATTCCCGTGAAGATTGTATAAAAATGCAATCAATAGTGCTTCATCAACTATCATCACCAATTTTTAATGAAATGATTCGGTATGCCTGATATGCTTCCAAACTTTCTGATAAAAGAGAAATTTTTATGAATATAAACGAAGTATGTTTTCCAACAGATCTATTAAAAAAAAAGGTTGTTCGTGTAAACAATCATCCTTCATAAATTGTGCAAGATGTCAAAATAGTTTTTGTTTTCAATGTCTTTATAATAATTATCATTCTGGTGCTTGTATGTAAAATAAAAAATTGATAAATAAAGACAATATTGTAAAAATTTTTTATATAAATAAAATTATTTATATATATTTTATATTACTGAATACAGTGGAACCCCGGTTAACGAACTTAATCCGTTCCGCGACTCCGTTCGTTAACCGAAGCAATTTTTCCCACAGAAATTAATGCAAATACAANATTTACCTCCATTAAAAATGCATTTGAAATTATTCAACTTTTGAAAAATAAAATGTTATCTTTAATTCACATTTTAATCTGCTGTAACAGTCATTTCATAAATAAAATAAAAGTATTTATGATTTAATTGATAATATTTTTACATCATTAACTTTATTTAAAAGTTGTTATAATTTTAAACCAATGAAAAAAAAAAGTTTTCTGAAGGTAGGATCAAACCTAGGTCGGACTGCATTGCAAGCGAGTACGCTACAGACTCAGCACTTCACTGTACTGCCATAATGTAGAATCGATCGGTATATAAGCTGCGCTTAAAATTTTAGAGCCTTTTTCTCGGAATCTTCTGGCTAGTGCACTTTACAATTCTTCTGGGTGAACACCCTTGAAGTATACTACTAACCTGCAAGTCTCATCCTGAACTGAATTTCTGAGACCATAAGGTCCCCTTGTCAGATATAAAAAATATAGTGCCAAGTAAAAATTATGGCACCTGAAATGAAAGTCAAATTTTTTGTTGGGAGCTTATTTTTGGTAAAGATAAGGTGCTTTGAAGCTATATTATAAGTGTTTACTTTCCAGGTGTGATCCCACGACTAACTACAAGTGTTTAGTGGTTTTATTCACTCAGCCACTGGTGGGTCTTAAATTAATAAAAACTATTTTCTGAAAGTATAGAGCATGTTGTGTGAGATATGCTTAACATTTTCCTATGAAACGGCCTTTATGGGTTAATATCATTTTGATATCTACGTTTATTAAAGTGTCCATTTTCTAAGAAATTTCTTTAAATACTAGTGCGAGAATTGGAATTTTATCGTAAAATTCCATGGGAAATTATATCTATCTTTTCATGTTGTTTACAAAAATGGATGGCAAAAAGTGACACTGTTGTGTTAGAAAGGGAAATCAACTTCCTTTCACAAAGTTCTTATCTCCAACTTTGACAACCATCTGTGTATCTGACCCCCGTACATCCCATCTGTGGACAAAATCCTATTGGTTGAAACTGATGATAAAAGAGGAAATTTCCCACGATTTGGGGCAGTCAATAGAAATCTGACATTGTCACATAGACTGCAGTCCTCCATATTTTGAAGGTGCCAGAAACAACAGGAAGTTCATGATAGTTTTGAACATGCCACATTAGCAGGAGTGCCCTCACTCACATCCTCTTCCTGGAACCTTGTCCAAGAACATAACATACTTCATTCAATGAGAAGACCGACATCGAGACCTTCAATCAAGATAGTATGTATAAGTTGTTGTAAGTTCTCTGTCTCTCACATGATTAGATAGGGGACTAGTATCTCTTTATGTATCAATCATTATTCTTTTATTATATTTTGTCCTCATTAAATTTTGTTTCATTTGATTTAAATGGTCTTGTTATTAAACTCAGCTCTTTGCCAAAGTCTTATCACAGATCTATGATCCTTCCCTCTTGGAAAAGTATATAATTTTATTCATTAGCATGCCTAATGCTCTAATTAGGCTGGTGTCAGGAAAAATCAACAGGGAGATCGTAAGAACTTTCTGTTCCCAAATTTAAATCATACTAAAAACCCATCCTAGTGACCCTGCGGGCGGATCTTCCTTGTCTGAGGCCGAACAAGAGTGAGAAATACGTTTTCTTAACTCCAGATTCTCACACTAGTTAATTAAAAACTATTTTTCTTACTTTGCATTTTACCTATAGTAAACTTCAAGGTTGGAGTCATTGAAGTCAAAAGAATTTTATTGACTCCAGCTCTGCCCAAAAATGTCTGACTCCAACTCCACAATAGTGGTTCTCAGAGTTTAGTGGGTAATGATCTGGTAATGGATCCTACTTACATCAACTGTCATTGAAATCTTCCATTCTAATCACTAATAAATCCCCGATGTTCTTTTTATATTGTTGCCATCCTGCTATTGTGTAATATGGAATTCAATGCTAATCACAGATGGAAGATTCCAATGATGGCTAATATACATAGTATCCATACCAGATCATTACCCACTAGACATATGACATAAAGTTTATAGAATTAAAATTATAACCTAATATAATTTTTATTTCTAAACCTCCATAATTTATTACAGTTATAGATTTGGGTATTGTTTCCCCTCCTCATTCACACTAATAATCAGTTCTAGTGTGGGCCAGGCTTGCTCATATGAGGCATAATTAAGGCTGGTCACTTAGACTACAATGTGCTGGTGCTTTAAATTTTATTATATTTTAATTTTAATTTCTAAATTATTGATATTTAATATAAAATTTTATTTATAGAAGATCACAAAATACTAATTTAAAGAAACACATCAAGTCAACAGAAGAATTAGAAATAGAAAAAATAACAAGTCTAAGAAAAGAATTGGAAGATCATAGGAGACTTTCAAGGATGTCTATGCTAAAAGCAATTTCTGGACAATCAGTTCATCCTAAAAAAGAGAAATTACTTGAAATAGTGAAGCAGCCTTATCTTCCCAAAAAAGAAAATATAAAAGCTAAATTTAAATTGCCAACGATATCAAATGCCCCTTCCAGTTTCTTGTTAAATTATCAACAAAAGCAATATGTATCCAAAACTTCAACAATGCAATCATTTATTACTTCAAATAAGAATACTCATATATATAAAACAGGAAATGAAACTGAACTTCTTAAGAAATATAATATAAAAGGTTTGATTTAAAAATTTTCTTACTATATTAATAAAATAAGATGATTTTTAACAAAAAATTTTGAATTATTTGCAGATTCTAAAAATGTATTGACTTCTCTTCCATTATCTGACCAAGTGTTTTACTATCAGAAACCGATAAATATCTTTCATAAATTGAATGATACTAAAAGGTAAATTAGTTGCAACTTTGCAACTTGTAATATGATATTGAAATAATTTGAATATATAGTGTGTTTATAATTAAAGTTCCATTTTGAAATGGCCATAAAATGAAAACTACTGGACAGAATGTTATCAAATTTGGTAATAGTGTACAGGACTTTATGGGATTTTATTTCCCGCGAAAAAAAAGTTCAAAAACTCACCACCAATGGGAAATGGTGCTGTCTGCAATATTGTTAAATGAAATAAGACATGAAGACATTGTTGAAAATGTTTTCAATCGGTTTTAAAATGAAACTGTTTGTTATACTCCTGATATGCTAAGAGCTACTGTTAGGAATACAGTAATGTGATGTAACTTGCTTATCAAAAATGGTGGACACCACATTGAACATGCTCTGTAACGTGTTTTAAAACTGATTAAAAACATTTTTAACAATGTCTTCATGTCTTATTTCATTTAACAAAATTGCAGACAGCACCATTTCCTGTTGGTAGTGAGTTTTTGAACTTTTTTTTTTGCGGGAAATAAAATCCCATGACATCTTGTACACTTACCAAATTTGATAACATTCTGTCCAGTAGTTTTCATTTTATGGCCATTTCAAAATGGAACTTTAATTATAAACACCCTGTACAATGTTTTTACAATAAAGGTAATACCTTATTTACTTGAATAATTTTCAACCTTGAATAATCTGCACACCCATTTTTTTAAGATACTGGTTTTAAAAACTTGAGAAAAAAACTTGATCAGTTTCATTTATTACCTATTTAAAAAATTTTACTTATTTATGATTGTAACGTAGTAGCAACCTTTGCTCTTACTGTTTTATAGCATTCAATAAGGCAGTGGTCAGTTTACAAGTTTGCATGGTATTAAAGGATAAAAATATCAAGGGGAAAAAATTACTGATTAAATGAAAGTAAGACTTCTTTAGTCATTTAATTTGAACTAAAAATGAAAAACTGGTAATAGAACAAATTAGCTTAAATTAAATTATAATTTATTTGTCATCAGTCTTAGACGTATGTTTAAATTAGTTTATTTTCAGAAAACAGTCTCACAAAAATATTTAATAGTAATGCTTGTAACTATTGACTCTATAGTTGATAGTGCAAATTACAAAGTCAAAGAGTGTCTCAAAATTAATACAGAAAACGTTTTTGTCAAGTTAAAATTCTCAAAGAGTAAGTGGCTGGACATTATCAAAAAAATAGGTGGGGGAAATAAGGCTGTATGGCTTCTCTGCATGGTCTTATATGCTGCATTGAATGCACAAAGTTAAAGGAGTATAAATTACACTTGAATCTGGATTTGCTTCATTAATTTCACATAGTTAAGTAGTATTTTCTGTTTCATTTTTTATTATAAATGTGTTCAATTAACCATTATTATCTTCTTTATTATAGATTTGTTAGTTTATTAAAAATTCCATAGTTTTCATTATTTGAGTACATGAGATCAAAATCATAAAATCAGAATAAGAAGTTTGTTGTTGTTTTATATAATATGTAAGGGCATTTTTAAATTCATTACTTAAAGAGGTGTTTTGATTTATTAGTTCATCAAGCATAAATTTAAATATAACATCAATGACATGCAAATTAACATTTTTACAACATAATACATCTACAGGAATTTTTATTGGTTGTAATTAGAGGATTTGATCCCGGGATCTCGAAAATCGGGATCCCGGGATCCCGACCACTTTTCAGTCCCAAAATTTTCGGGATGAAGTTTTCCTAATCCCGGGATTTTCGGGATTGACATCATTTTAAAAAAAGTTGCAAAATAGACTGCATGAAGCGAAACGTTCAGTGCCAGTGCTTTTAACAGAATTGCTTGCCTATCATTTTAATATAAAATACAAGAAATTTTATTCCAAGCAAGCAGCAGAAATTAACCTAGCGGGCTTGCGATGCTTGCTTGGAATAAAACTTCTTGTATTTTGAACTAAAATGATAGGCAAGCAGTTCTCACTGGGTTACTTGGTAATATACTTCATTTTTGTATTTTTGAATTTTCACGGGTGCCAATCGATTTTCTGGCGCAGTCAAGAGCACTACTCAGTGCATTTTACCTGTCAATGTGTCAGCCATCTTGTTTTGCCAGTGTGGTTAATATAGACCTGACGCCACTCGCTTAGGGGAGTCGACCTTAGGTGAAAAGGTTATGACCCTCGCCTTGCCCGCGACCTGTCAGGATGATGCGAGAAAGTCTTTTTACGTTTCGGAGTAGTGGTTTGCTGAACGCTGAGAGGCTCACACAGAGACCGAATTTACAAAATTAACGCGTTTATTTTTTGAAAAACATGCTTACAATGATCGAAACAATCGGGATTATAGCCTTTACTTCTACAATCCCGATCCGTGTCGACCGGACTGTTTTCTTCCAACCTCCCCGTGTCCTCGAAGCTTATAAGTATTTACTAACGATTCCTCCAACTTCCATCAACCTAAACGCGTTTTCTCTGCAGCTGCATATATGTGCAACAAATTGAGAAGCAGACTTGGTGATGAGACACTGGATGCGTTGTTATTTCTCAGACCATATTTTCGCAATTCAAATTAGAATGTTCCTATTAGATTAGTTTTCTTTATATTTAAGAAAAATGTGACTGATTAATATTATTTTTAAATACTTTTTCCTAAGAAACTTACTTTACTACCTACTTACTAGGTTGTTATATGAAAGTAGTCTATTTAGTCGATGTTAAGAGAGATTTTTTGTGAATTTTCAACGTTTATTTGCATAGTTTGTTACATAAAGGTTTTTTCAATTTATGTGAGTTTAAAGAGATCTCAGTAATGCTTAAAAAAGAATAAATTTAACATGAAGACAGTGATTTTAAGTCTGGTTAGTCTGACTGTAAGTCTGATTAGTTAGAGTGATTAAATTAACTAGGTGTACACAGTAAAATACGTTGATTTTTTGTCTAAATTTTGATTTTTGATTTCTGTAAGATTTTCTTATTTTTTATTAACCCTCAATACCGAAATAATCCCGGGATCCTGGGATTGAATAAGTATAATCCCGAAATCCCAGGATTAGAAATAAGGACCGGGATCGAATTCCCTAGTTGTAATGCTAGCATTGTATTAACAATGTAGCCTCATTGTCTGTAAAGATAATATCTGATTTCAAATTTATTGTATGAGACTAACACAATTTTTAATCATCAAAGAAAAAAAAAAATTCAACATAATCAATAAACAACTCCGATAAGTATTAGAATCTATTGCTAATGACATTTCTTTACCAAATTTTTTTTAATGTCATTTTCATTTATTCATAGATAATCATTGTTTTGGGTTGATTTGTGGAATAGTTTTACTGCTATGAATATTTTTGCTATCAGAGAACTCAACTATATATTTGATTCTAATTTGAAATCCTTCCCATTGATTCTCAATTGAGAATCAATAGCATTTCTCTATAGAATTCAATGATTCTCAATTGAATTCTATAAAGAATTTAATTGAGAATCATTAGACAATACTTTAGTAGTGATAGTAGGTGGTGGTGGTGGTGGTGGTAGTAGTAGTAGTAGTAGTACAAGGCATATCATTATTTTCATTGTTATTGGTCATGATCAGCTGTTTAAATTAATTCAGCAGGCTCCTGGTCTTTGTTGATTTCTTCTAAATTATGTTTAGTGTAAATGTACTTTGATTAGTCAACTATTCTATGTACAAGGAAAATCTGATGAATTGCTTTCATCAATTTTCCTACTTTTGTCATTACACGAAAGCTCAATCTGTAGTAATTGATACAATATTTTTAAAATAAATATCAAATTCTTTTAATTTATTTTTAATGAAAATTAAATATGTGAAGGTCTGAAACCCTTTTTTTCTGTTTTAAAACAGTATAAACCTCGGAATTTTCTCTGAAAAGGGAAAAAGGAGAACCGCTGTGGTCAATGACCGAGACGCTCTCCTCGAATAAGAAAAAAAAGGGGAATGTTAAAATATCAATAAATGAAATCTCCTCCATTTGTTTATAGGTAATTCTACAGATGTTGATATCAACAAGACGGGAATAAGAGATGTTTCTTATCACCTTTTTGGTTGTTCCTAACATGTGGTTACGGCAATAAATCGTCTCATTTGTAGTCAAACACGACGTTTGATATAAACAATATCTAGATAGTTGACCAAGTTAAAGAAATTATTGTCAGCTGAATGTTAATTTATGGATGACCTATAGAAATTTATATCAAAAAATCATATCATCTTGACACCAATATCAATAAATTGAACAAACTTCTCTATGTCAGTTGTCCGAACTAGCTAGATCCAAACATCAACACACTAACAGGTGTGCGGATAAATCATTTGTAATGTCATAGTTCTCACCCCTCAAATTTGGTATAAAGAGGGCTCCTGGCCAGTTATCGGTGTGGCCTCCAAGATAGCAATAAGCAACGGATTAACTACCTTCAACGCTGACCGCCGACAAATGGACGAAAAAGCTAATTTCTACCATCTTCCACTTAGTAAGTAGAACTCTCTTTTTTCTTTCAGGTGGACTAGGGCTAATTCCGAAAATAATATTAATTAAGGAGGATCAGAGACTATCCTCAGTCGAAATACCCGAGATATAATCCGACTAACCTAATATTGTAATTTCGGTTTGATATTAATATTCTTATTATTTGTAACCTTTCTTTTATATAGTGTATACTAATTAAATTTATATATATATATATATCTTAATCATGTGTGTTTACTCGTACTCCATCAACACCTTATCGACTTATCTGCAACCTCCCACTCGATTTCCTCCCACTCCGCCCTCCTAAATTGCCATCCACTGACCCTGTGAGTGGGACTCACCTCCCCGTTGTCAGAAAACGGTTTAGGCTTAGATGCTTAAACCCCGATTCTCACAAATACTTGTCAGTAGACATAGATCTATGATTATGGAATAATCCAAGGTTCCAAAATTTATCATCACTTAAATGGACATTAACTTTCATCTATCTGTGATTTTTAACAGGCA